AAAAAAAAAAAAAAAAAAAAGGCAGACTTGTTCTTGCAGCCCTTCTTCTCATAAAAATAAAAATGAAGTGTCACTGGATGGCAGAATAAATCGTGAGAAAGCCGCTAGCATGAAAATAAAGATGAAAGAAGCTGGCGCCTCTTTATGCGGCTTTTAAAATGGATGAAGGCAGAAGCAGAGCTATGTGATCTGTTTATCAGAGCGAGTAGCAAATGCTTTTGTACCAGGCGATTTTGCTGTAACTGCACAGCTAGCAATCCCTCAAGACCTACCCTATATCCAGTCATACAAGCTTCAGCTCTCAATGCTTGAGAAAAGAGAGTAAAAATTTATGAATTCTGGCTACTCAGATGTGATGTAAAGATGAACTCTAGTCCACGGTTGCCCTTCAATGCCAAATATATCCTTCAAGGTATTTATTTTCTAAACAGATTTTTAAACACAGTGACCTAAGCTTTGGGCATGCAAAATATTCATGGGTTACATCATAATGATGATGTTCCTAGAGTGGTTTTCACCTTCTGAGCACTTTGCAGAGAATAAACTATGGAGCCTATACAGCATTTCTGAGAGGAAGGAAAGAATAATTAGTATTGTATAATACATACGCACACACATATATGCTTGGCTGGAAAATGTTTATCTTTTTTCTTTCCCCACCAAAGAAAATTTCAAGCAAAACCTGACATCATTCATTCCACTGCATCACAGGGCTTCATGGGAGTTGCAATTATGGCGTTTGTGCCAACCTGTAAGGTGCTCTCCTTGGTTAGGCTACATTTCCCATGACACACTACAATCTCTTTCATTTTCTTAAGTCGGGTGAATTGTCAGATATGCACTTCAGCTCTTGAGCCTGCTCTGGATAGCAGCCAGAAAGTAAATGACTTTTTTACAGCTGTGAATATTTTTTCAAGGAGAACAAACAATCGATTCTCTGTGGCAGACTAAGAAAGGGCAAAGCCCTTTGTCTAGCTTCTAAATGGCTGTAGAAATCATGATGAGACATGTAATTACAGCATAACAATGCAGAGGCCAACATGAAATACTTAATGTTTAACCTAGATCTACACGTGTGTGTGTATTAGCACATTTGGAAATATTTCTTATGTAAGAACTATATTATTATTCCAATGCATTATATGTATACATATTATATACAAGTATATGTATATAGATACACACACACATATATTAGGGGTGTGTGAAACAGGCCCTATTCTATTCAGATTTGGCCTGAATCAGGGACAGTGATTTGATACATTGGTTTGGATCACTGTCCCCAGTTTGATTCAGCCAAATCGGAATCTGAAGATTTGATGCCGATTCAGGGAATGAGCGATTTGGCCATAGACACAGCTTTAAATGTTTTTTTCTCCATACCTCAGGTTACCAGGAGGTTTGTGAATGCTGCGATGCTGGGGCAGATGGAGCGTCCCACAGGAGTGCAAGGGCCCTGCCCTGTGTGCTTGGCGGTGAACCTGGAAGTGGACCAGAAGTATTTCTGGTCCACTTCCGTGTCCGCCAGGGAGCGCACTGGGGGGGGCCCCTACATCCCCCTGGCTTGGTGATTGGCTGCAGGAGGGCCCTGGGTGCCCCCCCAGACCCAGGAGGCACCAGTCACTGAGCCAGAGTGGTGCGAAGGGACCCCCAGGAGCTCCCTGGTGGACCTGGAAATGGACTGGTCCACTCCCGGGTCTTCTGCTGAGCACCCTTGGGAGCCCCCTGCACTTCTGTGGGACACTCCATGCACTCCAGCATCGCAGCACTCACGAGCCACCTGCTACCTCAAGGTATGTAGAAAAAAACATTTTAGAGCTGTGACTGTCTGAATCGCCGAATCTTTCCAAATCGATTCAGAGGGTTCCGATTCAATTCAGAGAGA